GTGAACACGTACTACACAAACACAGAGGTACACAACAGGTTGTAGTGCGTCATTCGGCATCCGACTGAAATAGGTGGAAGTTTTTATCTAAAAATCATCTGTAGTCTGCTTCGAGATTGTTTGTTTAGGTTGTTTTGTTTAAAATAGATTTCTATAAAGCGATATATATATATAGTCACATCTTTCCACAGTAATTGTTAAATCCCAGCGACTGTCTGCAGACTTCCCATTATTAGAATGCAGTGCCTTCGCATGACTCTCGGGTGAAGCTGAGAATCGGTATCTTTTCATTAACCGTCCGTTATGTCTCCGTTATGTCTCCGTTATGTCTCCGTTATGTTTGAGCAGTTTGTCATCGTGGTGGTCGACAGCACAGACAGAGAAAGGATCTCCGTGACCAAAGAGGAGCTCTGCAGAATGCTCGCACATGAAGTGAGTATCGAGACATGTTTTTGTATGTATTCATATAAATGTTTGTTTTATTTCACCAATTCAAAGTAGCCTATGTCAGCAAATCAGTTAATGGTCTTTAATAGATGGACAAACGTTGTTTAATGACTTTATCTCGGAATTATGTTGAACTTAAGTGACTAACATTGCTGCAAAAAGGCTCAAATTAAATTAGCAGCACTTGGCAAATAAACATTTTCATGAGCAGTTTCAGAACAACATGACATCACTGACAGAAACTCGTCTGTGTCAAGATCAAAGAAGTGTTATATAAAATGCTTCGGAGGACATCCTCAAATACTACTTCAATATATCAGTTCCCTTATTTCAAAGTTAAATTCACAGTCTGTCATGTAAATGTAAAAAATAATAAATACAGTCTATAGTGTTGAACCACAACACCAGCTACATACAGGCTAATGGTGCCTTTCTCTCTGCATTGTTACGGTCAAATAAACAAACATTTGTATTGTAGCTCGCGGTGTTTGTGATTAGCCTCGTTAAAGACTTAATATTACTAGTTAAGGTGCTAACGTATGGTGTGATGAACTGATGAAGAGCCGGTGGCAGTTAATTATCCTACATGTAGGGATGTAAAGTGCAGGTTAGATTTATCAGTTGGCAAAATTATTTTACTACGAATTGAGTTATTGGTGCACAGGCAGCAATTATTAATGTAATTCACAAGATAAAAGCCTTTAATTAGTGTATTGTTTGATCTTCTTCTGTCATACCAGATAGAATATCACCGTAAAAAGCGTGGGAACCTTTTAGATTTTGAATATCAACATTCTAAATGAAGCTTGCAAGTGTTCAGTGCAGCCGTACGATCTCCATTTGTTCAGCCTCTCGTCTGTCCTCCAGGACTTAAGAAGGGCCGGGCTGCTGATCTTTGCCAACAAGCAGGATGTGAAAGGCTGCATGTCGGTGGCTGAGATCTCCCAGAGCCTCCAGCTCACCTCCGTCAAAGACCACCAGTGGCACATCCAGGCCTGCTGCGCCCTCACTGGGGAGGGGTGAGGACTGCATTCACTGATCACTCACTCCCATTATATTAGACCGAAGTGGTGCAATGGATCATAAGACGGATCAGCAGGAAATATAAAAGGAAGCAAATATAACTTTTAGAGATCATTGATGATCCATATTAACATGTGAACACATTTCCTTCAAACTACTGGATTTATTCAAGTTTATCACCAAAACTACATTTTACAGATGACATGTGAACACATCATAATGTTATAATGTACCTTCAGCCAGTACTCATGTTCACTGAGCAGAGCCTGAAGGCATCATGATGTAACTGAAGTGAACCTCCTGTTGGTTAGCCGTTAGCGGTGCTGCTAAAGTTACTAGCTCTCCTCCTGTTGGTTAGCCGTTAGCGGTGCTGCTAACGTTATTAGCTCTCTTCCTGTTGGTTAGCCGTTAGCGGTGCTGCTAACGTTACTAGCTCTCCTCCTGTTGCTTTAAACACTGATTGGTTGTTTACAATGAAACATGATCAGAGACCAGAGACTAGAAACACATGTTCTACTGAGTCAGTACAACTTTATTTCGTGCTCTGATGGTTAAACTGTGTCACGGATCACATGTATGCTGAACCGCATTACTATTGGACTGTAAAGAAACACTCGTCTTTGTGCTTTTATGTAAGAAGAACTGTTGCCATTCTGTCATCTTAATGCCCGTCTGTCTTCCTCTCGTGTCCCTCCAGGTTGTGCCAGGGTCTTGAGTGGATGATGTCCCGGCTGCGCGTGAGATGATGACCTTTTTGACTTTTGATACAGAGTGCTCCCTCGCTCTTTGTGTTCTCTGCCTCCAGACGTGAGCTAGGATGGAGGATGGAGGTTTGATGGACGGCCCTCTCCTCTTTCCTGTGACGCGCTGACGTGGGCGGACCGACCGCCAGGACGTCAGTTTCTTCTGTGATAATTTATTTTACAAAAGACGTCTTGAACTCGGAGCAACAACAAAGAAAACAAGAGCTTTTCTACTCAAGGACATTGAACAATGAGACTCAAATTATTTAAACTGAAATGTGTGCACGGTTTTCCTTTCTCAGCAAAACACGGACGTCGGCATAAGTGTCTGACGTGGAACTGTACGTGGACTTGTTCTCCAGCTGTGTGGGACTCCAGCCCACGGTGGCCTTGCAGTATTGCCAGACTGGCTGTGGCAATTTTGATTGCCCCCCCCCCCCCCCGTGTGTATAGTCCAGTATTCTCTTTTAACGTGGTGCCTGATGCAGAATGTTGGAGTGATGACGGTTAATGGTGGCTGGAAAGAACATGCTGAAATAGGAGGGTAACAAGTCACAACATGCCCTCTTCTTTTCAGTCCCTACAAATAATCAGTGAAATAAAGTGTTTTTATCTGTTTCAGGTGAATTGCAGCGTGTCATGAATGAGTTTCTTGTTGTGTGACGTCGGTTCTGTTGTCCTTCAGGGGGCTGAATGTGTCACATGAGCTCACGGTGCCGGATGCTTTTCAGGGAGCGTGATGAGCAGCTTCAGGAGTAGAGAGGAGAGACGGCCAGAGTTAAGACAGATGAGGGATTCAGGGAGAGAAGAGACCGAGCAGCTCACAGTGAGTGGTTGAGATAAGAAAGAGAAGCACAGCACAGCATAGCACCGAAGCCTCCTGTATTATCGGCGTCGTGAAGCCGAGATGTGTGCACCAGAAAATGACGTAATCACGGCCTGTGCTCCGCTGGTGCTCGTGCACATCTGAATCTTTCGGTTTTAAAAGCTTTAGAAACAAGAAGTCTTAAAAATCTACATTTGAGTAAATATTTTGCAGCCAAATCAACTAGTTTACAGGATGTTCAACCTTTGTTTCTCTATAATACATCTAAATCTTGACTTCTTTCATAAAGGTGATAAAGTAGTTTATGAGTTTACAGTTGGTTATATTTCCTCCTTGTGGAGGTTGGTTTATGGTGTTTTTCTGGTTAAACTTGTCTTGTTGCTTCTTCTCAACGCCACGATCGTTTGTGTCGCCGCCGCTACGACCGCATTGATTCATCAGGTCTGTGGTTCTTCTGCTATGAGGAAGTTGGTTTTTACAAAGTCAGCAAAAAGCTCTACCGTCGTCTTTAAAATTAGCACCATGAAACGTTTCCTCACATGCTTTGGTCTTATGATTATCTTTTGTCATCTTTTCTGCTGAAAGTCACAGCTGGACGAGTCCCACATGTGGTTGACTTTATTATTTAATATTATTTACCAGCCTGAACACAGATCTTAAGTATTTGAATAGACGGTTTCAATGTGAGCATTAATCATAATGTTCTTCACTTTGAATCAGATGACTGTGTGTAATCTAGATCAAATAAGATGAGATCCTCTATTATTCCCACAGATAACTATCACCCTGCAGCTGGTTTTTCACCATCTTTTAACTCTAAATACATTTTTGCTTTAAGGGCAAAAGCTTATTGATAAAGGTGGAGATGAATGCATGAACACAAGTGAAATCCAAATGAGTGAAGATCATGTGCTCGCTAGGACAACTGAGCACAACGCCCTCCGCTAACAAGGAAAAGATCACAAGATGAGACTTGAAGCCAAACGAGTTCACACAGTGCTGATTGCCAGAAAAAGCTCTCAGTATTTCACAGGAGTTTTTGTGTTTTGTGTTTTCCTGATTCGTTTTACATCAACCAGCGGCAGCTAAAGAGGCGAGAGAACATGGCGACGGAGCAGCAGCAAGAAGAACCGCTGGAAGTCCTAAGAAGTGTCCAAGAAAAATGCCTGTAGTGGATGCTCCAGATTTTAAGCGTCTTCAATCTGTATTCTCTCTAGTGTCCACCAGGGGGCGACTCCTCTGGTTGTATAGA